AGGGTAAAAACCCTTGCAGCGATAAAAAGCGCTTAAAAGTTATATATTAAAGCCTAGCCAAAGTTAAATTTAACACGCCAAAATACCGCGCGGTTAAAATTGGTTAACGTTAGCAGCGCTGTTAAATTCGATTTAATAAGCACAAATTCGGTAGCAAAAATAGCAATATTGGAGCCAAAGCCAATTGCAATGCTAACGTTTGCAACAATTAAAATTAGCGAATCGTTAACGCCATTTTTTACCATTGCAACAATTGCTTTTTGCTTAGCATTTTCCTGGCAAATCCAAAAAGTAACCGCGCGCTAAATTTGGTTTGGCTTTTTTGCAAATATTTAACCTTATTTACCTTTTGTTTCGGTAACACGCCGGCAATAATACGCTTTGGAAAAATGCCAATTGCAGCGTTAACTGCTTGGATGGTCGTAAGGTTATTTCCGGAAATAATCCACACGTTTATACCGCTGCGCTAAAGCGCTTCGATTATAAAGCAAAACTTAAGCCGAAAAAAATTAAAAGCCGCAAGCATAATTGTTAGCTTTTAAAACGAATCCGTTGCCGGCAACGCAAATTTCGTTGCAACAAGCACAATCGATTATGCTTAACGTTTCCACAAATTTAAAATTTCGAATGTTAAATTGTTACAAACAATAACGTAATTTGTTATAAAAGCTTTATTTTTAACGAGCACGTTAACGGGGCCGGGCAGCGTATCAACGCTAAATGTGCCCTTTATTCCTTTTCCGGAATTTTTTTTAACGCGGCTGGCTTTTGCGCTTAACAAATTGCTAGAACCGCAAAAAGCAATTATAGCTTTGCTAATGGTATGGCTGTTATTTCCTTTTAGCTTTGCCAAAATATCCAAAATTGTTTATCGTTTTAAACCGCCGTTGGCAAATATGTACTGGTTATTTATTATTATAAATTTGTTGCTTTGCGTTAAAATGCCTGTTTTATCGAAAACGATAATATCGAAGCCATTTGCTTTTTAAAACGATTTTTTTCCGCTTTTAACGAAAATCCTTTGTTTCGCCGCCAAACCCCCGCCAACGAAAAAAGCCGTTAAAGCGGCAAAGCCAATGCCACAAAAACAAGCAATAATAAAAACGGCGATAGCAAATTGCAAGGACCAAAACGGCCAACCGCTAATTGCAACATTGAGGTATTTTTCGGGTAGAACCTTGGAAATGCCGAAACTTAACCAAATTAACTACGTTGCAATAACGATACAAATTACGATAAAAACGAAATGGCTAGTAAAGGTATCGGCTACCCGTTTAATTAGCGCATAACACGCTTGGCCCTTTCGTACCGCTTTAATAATTTGGTTTAGCATTAACTTCCCGGAAATGCTAATGGTTCGTATTAAAAAGGGGCTGCTTTTATTAACCGTACCCGAATAAACGGGATCGCCAAAAGCCTTAAGGACAAATTTTAACTTTCCGGTAAGGCTGGATTCGTTAAATTTGCTTTCCCTTTGCAAAATAATACTATTCCAAAACGGGAAACCCTTATGCACAACCTTAACCACGTCGCCAAAATTAAGCATATCGACGGGAACGTTTTAAATTTGTTCGGATCCTTTAAAGCCAGGGCTTGGAAAAACGAAAAGCGCCTTTTTCGGCCGAAGCTTGCTTAGCATGGATACCGCTTCGCCAGTTTTCGCTTTACTATATGCTTTAATAAAGCGGCCGATAAGCAAAAACATAGTAAAGAAAACGATTAAATTAAAATACGAGCCATTCCCGCTCTTTGCCATCGTATTAAACAAGGTTGCGGCAATAACTAATTTAGCAATAAAAAAAACGTAAGCAATGGTAGTGCCCAAGGACATTAGCATATCCATGTTGTTAAAACGGTAAAAACGGCGGAAAAGGGGCACCAAGCTATTGCGCCCCCATAAAAACGCAACTTTTTTATTATGCGGCGGTGGAAATCGTTAGCCGCGAAAAAGTACATTAGCGTAACCATAACAAACAACGCCCATTTGGCTCGGGTAACGCCGTAAAGCTGCTCCATAAAATATTGCTGGCCGGTGCTACGGCGCACACCTTATTGTTATAAAAAAGGCTTTGTTGTTGCACGAAAAGGAAGCTATTTGGGCAAAGCGTTTTTGGCGTTTTATCGCGGTTTTGTAAGCGTAACGTTGGCGCGCTAAAAGTGCGGCTTTAAATTTTTTCCCAAATGCCCCAACGCGTACCGTAATAATATTTTATTACAAAATCGCAATTGTTCCAATTGCGTTAACGTAATATTTTGCGCCGGTATAGCGTTGCATGCATAACCCCGTTTGTTTGGGGCGCTTTTTTATTTTTTTACGCACGGGTTTGCAATATTTTGCTTACCGTTTTTTTAAAGCGGAATTTCCGCATTGCGTTAGCGTTTTTCGCCGTTTTTTTAATTCTTTTTTCGCTTTACGTTACGTTTATTTAACTTTTTTTTAATTATTATTACCATTTTTATTATTACGATTTTTTAATTCGCCGGTTTAACGTTATTATTGCTTTATATTTCGATTGTTATTTCGTTTTTTTTTGCTTTTTTCCGTTATATTAATTAATAATATAAACGCCCGCAAAATCCGCGCTAATACGGTAACGCGTTATTTATTTTACGCCGTTATTTGCTTTTTAACGTTCCGTACGTTAATTAATTAGCATAAAAATAACATTTTAAATTTGGTGCATTTTATTTAAAAAATTTATTGCGTAAGCCCGGGTTTAAAATTTTAACCCAATGGTAACGGGTTGCAATTTTATCCAAACGTTTAATATTATTAATGTTAAAATTAAAAAAATAATTGTAATAAAATGCGTTTTATTAATTAAAATTTGCTGGCGCATTGTTAACGTTCCAATTTGCAATTGCTTTTTTACATAAAAAAAAAACCTTTGCAATTTTAAACGTTTGGCCGCCGCTTACAAAAGCTTTTTTCGTATCGATAACGAAATGCTGGTTTTTTTGGATTTTGCTAGCGTTATTAAAAGCGTATACATTTTGTTAGCGAATATTTGCGCGCGTGCTGCGCGTATATGCATCCATTTTATACGTGGTTTTAAAACCGTTAACGCCGTTAAACGGCGCTTTTATTGCATAAATAGCTTTTAAAACCAGCGTTAAATAAACATTTCGTTAGCGTTTTTGCGTTTTGCTTTTGTTTTTTTTTTATAAAATTTTAATATTAGCTTTAACCCGCTTTTTTCGTTGCTTTAACGCATTAACGGCGCGTTATTGCCATTTTATTAATTAGCATTTAATTTTGCCATTATTTTTTTCGTTTTCCGGTTTAAAATAACCGGGCGAAAATGCGGCTTTTTTTTAATAATTCGGAATATACAATTTAGCATACCGTTAAAAAAGCTTATATTTAAAAATATTACGAAATTATATATACCGTATGGTTTATAATTATTGCTAAAAACGGAAACGATTAAAATAATACCGTATATTTAACGGCGCGCCGGAATTTTTTATTTATAACAAAAAATTGTTTTAACCAATTTCCCAAAATAATATTTTTTGCTTAACATAAATTTCCGGCCATTTTTTTTTTTTCGAAAAGGATTAGTAAATGTACCGGAAAAAAGGTAATTTTTTTTTCGTTATTATTTTTAAAAACGGGTAACGGCGGGTAAACCGTTAGCAATTTATTATTATTATTGTTTTTAAAAAGCAAAATAAAAAAAATTATTGTAATAAAAAAGGGTAACAATAAACAAACCGTTAACAATTTAATATCGTTTTTGGAAAATAAATTTTTGAAATTTAAAAATAATAATGCTTAAATGCGGCATTTGGTCGTTTTTTTTTGGTTTGGGTTTAAGGTTTGGTTAATGCAACGTTTGGGTATTTCCGGGCGCATGTTTGTTTTTTGCGCGTTTTAGCGCGCGGTAATGGTTTGGCGTTACGGCGCCGTTTTTCCGCGTTAATTTTGGTTTACCGCTTGCGTATTGCCAACATACGGTACGTTATTTTTAAACCAAAATTTTAATAAAAAATTGTATTGGTAATAATTAAGTTTTTTTAAATGGTTTTTACGTTTTGGTATTTATTGCTTTTAACGTTAGCGAAACGCCGGGCCCGTTATTTTTTGTACAAATTGTACCGCTTTTGGTTTGTACTATTAATTTGGTAATTTAAATTTATTTAAATACAAACGGTAAAAATTCCGGATACGGTTATTTGCTTTTTTAAAATTGCGGTAAAATTTTTAAAGGGGGGCGTAAAATGCGGGCCATTTAATTTTATATTAAAAACTTTCCCGCGTTTTTTTAAAATCGAAAATTTTATTAAAAACCCATTTTTTATTGCTATTATTAATATTTTCCTTTTTTGTTAAAAAAACGCCGGTAATTTGTTGGTTATATTTTTTGTTAATAACGTTTTGTTTCGGTAATTCCGAATCGTTTTGCTAAATTAACGAAATGTGAAAAACGGAAAATAAACGGTATTAAAACGGAAGTTTAACGGTTAAAGCTTGTTTGTAAATTTTGGTAATAAAAAACGGGCCAATCCATTTATCGTTTAATTTAAAGGTTAGCTTTAAAAATGTTATATTTTTTGTATTTATTTAAATTCGATTTTTTGTAACGAACGTATTTGGGTTAATTTGGTAACGGTTGGCCGCTTTTTTATACCGTTTTTAAGCTGCGGCCGTTATTGCTTTAATATAATCGAAAATTGTTTAAATTTTATTGGTTATTGTAAACTGTTGCAGGCAAAAGGGATAGGCACGGTGTGAGGCTACTTCGGTTAATATGCTTTAAAGAGGAAAGGATTTGAAGTGCAGGGTCCCGTAAGGGCTTTTGCCCTTTATATACACGTAATTCCCTGTCCTTTTTGCTTACTAAGCTTCCCTTTTAACGCCTGGAAGCGTTATACGCTTCCAAGCAAAGGGACCGCTCTTTCGATGCCTTAGGCATTTAATATTTATGCTTAAGGCTTTTTTATAACAATATATACTATTTACTTTGTAACATACCCCCCAAATAAGCTTTTTGGGTTATTTATAAATAAAATAAAGGGAAATTGGTTGCTATATTAATGGCGTGGGATTTAAAAGTTTACCGCGCTTTTAAAGGTTAATTGTAAAAGCGCATTAGCTTTAAAAAGTAACGAAGCAAGCGTTTCCCGCTTTTAAAAGGTAACCGTAAAAGCGCATTAGCTTCGAAAAGTAACAAAGCAAGCGCTTCCTGTTGCTAAAAGCAACGAAGCAAATGTTTTAGCTACAAAAGGTAACGAAGCAAATGCTTTAACCATTACCGGAAAAAGGTAAGCGTAGCAATTAAAACCTTTTTTTTTCCCATTTTGTTCCGGCCTTCCTTTTTTTCCTTTTTATTACCATTTCCTTACTAATCCGTAAATTTTTACGCTTTCGTTTCCATTGTTTAAGCCTTTGTTAATATAAAAATTTTTGCAAAAGCAAAAGCAAGCAATTGTAAATGCTTTACGCGGCGGCGTAATGTTTTAAAAACGTCGTACGGTGCTAACAAATTGGCTAAAAAATGGGTATTGCCGGTAACAAAGCAACGCGTGCAACCGCTCGAAAGCGCGCTAAGCGCAAAAAGCTTAACCGGGTTTAAGCTTAAAAAAAGTAAATCGTAACTTTTTGCTTTTTTATTAATTTATCGCTTTTTTGTTAATTTCGTTTTATGCGCGTATAATGCGGATTTGCAAACGGTTATAGCTATTTTAACAATTAAAACTAAGCAAACGAAAAAAACATTATTTAAAAAAAAGAAAAAAGCCCAATAAATCGAAAAGGATAAATAAAGGAAAAGTAAATCCTTTGCGGAAAAAAACAAATAACGGAATACAAAAAACGCGCGAAAATAACAAATTGCCCGCAAAAAGGCTTGGAATAACGCCCAAACAATTAAAGCAATAAAAGCGCGTGCGTTTGCCAAAAGCGCTAAACGGGTTAAAATTAATCGGGCTCGTTACGTTAAACGGATAAAAATTTTGCGCCGTTTTTTAACTTAAACCCCGATTAATATTGCCGTAACCGTTTTCGAATTTCCGGTTATTTTTATTATTTTTCGTACCTTTCGTTTTAATTTTTAACCCAACCTAACCAATACTTTTTAAATTCCGGCTGGACCAAGCAAAAACTTCGGGCCCAATTAATTTATTCGTTAAACAATTAAAATCAATTTTAATTTCGATAAATTCGTTAATTAGTTCGTTTAAAAAAATAACGATAATAACAATAAGCCCGTCGTTTTACCCGATACCCGAAAGCGCAAAACGGGTAAAAAAACGAAAGTAAATAGCCAAATTAATTCGTTCCCAACCGTTTTTGCGGGTTTTATGCTAACTACCCCTTTCCTTTCCGTTTTAATCTTTAAAAAAAATGCTATTTAACCTTTTTTTCCAGCGAAACCGTCGATTTTTTTTTAACGGGAACGTTTTAATTAGCTTTTCCGATAATACCATTCCCCGCGCGGTTTTATGCGATAAATGCACCAAAAACTTTTTAATAAAATTTCGGGGCCTTTGCAGCAATAAGCCCATAGCGCGCTTTTTTTGGAATGGTTGTACTTTACGGTA